GGTGTACTCTGAAAGGTTTCCAAATCGTCGTGTACCTAGCCACCCAACTTTTGCTGCTGTTGAGAGACGTCTTCGGGAGACCGGTTCCTTTGCTCCCAACACTGTTGATAATGGAAGAAAACGTTTTTTAAGGATTCCTGAAGTTGAAGAAGACATTTTAGAACATGTTGAAGAAGATCCAGAATCAAGCACCAGACGAATTGGAAGGGAACTAGTAAGTAAAGATGTCGTTCATAAAGTGCTTAGAGAACAATTGCTATATCCATACCATAAGAAGCCAGTACAAGGATTATTAGTCCATGATCCTCAAATTCGTTTGGGTTTTTGTCGATTTGTTAATATGCAAAGAAAAAGATCCAAACTTTGTCAAGAAGGTTCTCTTTACCGATGAAGCGGGTTTTACATTTTCAGCACGAATTCAAAATTAATGTGTGGGCTGGAATAATTGGTAATTTCATTGTTGGTTTTGTCATACTTCCACGAAGATTAACCGGAGAAAATTATTTGGATTTTCTACAAAATACGTTGCCAGAATTGTTAGAAGATTTACCTCTCCAACTTCGGAGAGATATGTGGTTTATGCAAGATGGAGCTCCACCACATTTTTCTTTAAACGTTAGAAACCACTTGAATGAACAATATCCACACAAATGGATAGGCAGAGGTAATGACGCACCTGTAAACTGGCCACCACGTTCCCCAGATCTAACACCGTTGGATTACTTTTTATGGGGACATCTAAAATCCACAGTTTACAGGGAACCTGTAGAAAAGTAGGAACAACTCTGGCAACGTATTCAAGATGCAATAAACAATCGTAGAGGTGATGAAGAAGTTATGGAAAGGATACATTTTAATTTTCTTCTTAAATCTTTGTATGCGTGAAAATGGTGAACATTTTAAACAATTTTTGTAAAATCTCTATTTTGCTTATGTTGTAAATAAATATTTTTGTGAAACCTATACACTCTAAATTATTAAAACAGAAATTTAGCGGAAACCATGAGAGTAATCGAGTCTTATCAAGAGTATCTTTTTTAAAGTAAATGAGTTGCGCAATCTAAATTTCATACTCCAACTCCTTTTCTTCCATTGGCGTAGAATTTTTAAAGGTGCAATAATTTAAAAAATCAAGTTCTACGCCTATGTATTATTATCGGACAAAATTTTAATACCATTTTTTTGCCACATAAAACTCTACCAATATACCAAATTTCAGCAAAATCGCATATGCCGTTTTAAATTTATATGGGAAAAACGATTTAAAAATTGTAACTTCAAGGCCCTCTGGAGCTCAAACGAAGCAACTTTGTACTAAGGTAATTTTACTTAAATCGACTTATTTTGGTCTAAGGAATATGTAATATGTTTTTGTAAAGACCTTTTACAGACACCCTGTATATGGGTACAAAGTTTATATTAAAAATATTTAGTGTTTTTACATCGGTTGGCAGGGCATTAAAAAGGTCCTTGACAAAATAAAGACCTCTCTAAAAAACTTTCACTTAATTATAAAATCAATGCTGAGTTCTGATTCATTTTTTAAGATGCGAGCATATCGGTAACACCTACTTGTTATCATGCTCGATAATATTTGAGTACCATTTTGTGAACCATTTTGAAAATAAGAATAATGTTCGCTTTTTGAGTGACTTGCTCAACTTATGCTCAACCTATATAATCGATTCAATTTATGGGAGTATATTTATTACAAGATAATTATACACTGCGATAAGTAAACGTAGTCAATCGCTTAGGGAGTACGGTAAGTTTTTAGATCTGACCCAATACACGTTTTGAGTTATTCCTGGGTGACAAAGACAGTTATGTAATTTATAAAGTTTTAGTGCTAATCCAGAACTGGCACATACTCTACTCAACGTATCACATATTGTATTTTTTTGATTCTGGGCGGTAAACAATGTCAAATTTGTAGTTTGATAATTCCGAACGCCTAATATGCTGTAATAATTAAAGAAATCTAAAAATTATTGTCTACGCTACTGATATCCGCAACAAAAACTAACACGATCAAAATGTCAGAGCTGTATATTATTCGGCCACAAGGTATTATTGATGGTTTTTATATTGAATGCAAATTAGAGCGGTCGGAGGTAAGAAGTAAATCTAGAGAATTCTGAAAAAGTCGCAGAGATCCTTTGTTAATTTAAATTTTTAAATTAGTCAGCCAATGTCAGTTTGTTTATACATTTATAATACCTACATCGAATTCTAGCAAATTAGGGTGCAGCAAAGCCGATTTTTTAGAACGATAAAACAGTCTTGTCAGTGTTTAATACTAGGTGGTAGATTTCAAGTCATCATTTCAGAAATTGAGTTTTAATTTTTATGAAAAACTAAATTGGATTAAATATATATACAGGGTGATTTATTAGGATACCGAGGTGTTTCCTTAGAGCATATAAGACTAGAGGTGTTACTCAAATGGGTTAGTTATGTACTGAGGGGGGTAACCCCTTCGGTGTTAGGCACCGAGACATTATAATTGGCGAGTTAGGAACACGACGATTTATGATTGGCGAATTTAAATAACGCGCGTATTTGTGATAAATGACATTTCATTTGACGCCTTGTTTTCGTTTTTAATAAGATCGTTTTTTTGTGGCTTCCAAAGACAATTTGGACGACGTGTCTTTTTGATAAACTTTTTAAGTGTATTTTTATTATAAAATAAGTGCTAATCATGCCGAAAGCTTGTATAGTTTGCAATAATAAATTTTTAAAAGGATCTTGGTTGACGTTTTACAAGTAAGTATTCTATATTCCATAAACGTAACTTAAAATGGGTAATGGGCAACTGAATAAGAAAACATGTTTGTAGAATGTTCTTTGAGCATCACCGTAACTGGTTGCGTTCGACAGAAAATAGTTGTTTTCTTTGAAATAATGCTTAATTTATGTCTTTTTCTTATAATGTAAAATGGATTAGAAATATTTTTGTATTGTACATTATTTATTCAACTGCCATTAATATTTTAAATCTTTTTTACTTAGGTATTTCAGATTTCCTGCTAATTTCACAACCAAACTGCCTAGTATTTAGTTTGAGCATTAATAGCATTTCTAACATCACATGTTTGTGTTCAGACCATTTTTAATTGAACATTATTATAAAGGTAGCAATGTATACCAAAAGCCTCTGGATAAGTTCTAGCAACTAGGAAACTTTTTAGATTTAAGCATCAAATTAAAAATCACAGATAAGGGTTTACAAAAAGAAGATGCACAATATTTTACTAAGAAAGCTGGAATTAAGTCTGGACCATTGGTCATCTTAGGTTTTAATTTTTTGCGGCGATCTCTATTTGTTTTTCCGTAAATTTTTTTATATGAAATACATTGTTATTTGTTAATGAATTTGAAGTGAAATATGTAGTCGAGGAAACAAAATTTTTTGAGGAGAAATATGTAAAACCATTGATGACTTCTTGCGGTCCATTATAGTCCGTACCATCTAATTTCATATCTTGGGGAATTGATGATTCACCTTTTTTGGATTTTATGGAAGACCAAAATTTGGAAGGGTCGAAAGCGATATCTGATTCGGTTGATCTAATATAATTTTGGTAATGTAATTTTGTTTGCTCTTTGACTAATGCTCTGATATTTGTTCCAAGCCTTGGACTTTTTTTGGATAAGGGCAATAATATAACCATTGAACCAAGGATAATGACGTGTGGTTACTTTTTTGAGTGGAACATTTTTATGGAACACGTCGTTTAACAAATCATAGAATAAATCAACAGCTGTATTTACATTGTCACATTGTTTAAGTATTGACCAATCGGCGAAGGCCAAGTCAAGATACAACGAGTGTAAATTGCATTTTTTTAAAGTTGTACCTAGCAGTAGATGTTGAAAAAGCTGAAGGACAAGAATTTTGTAAACATAACTCAATTGTTAGAGCTGGATAGTACTTATCTTCTAGAATTAGTGGATCGATAGATTTTGAGACACTGCAACTATTATTAGAAAGTACAAGATCTAGGATTCTATTATAGAAGTTGACACACTGATTATACTATGATATATTAAGACAGTTTATAAAATTTATTAATGTCTACGATTTTTCTACCTCCTAAGGTAGTACCCTTGATGGAACAAGTATATTCTGGAATGTTGAAGTCTCCTGTCATTAAACTGTTTTCATTATAGTTAGTATTTAAGGCATCAAATAGTTTATCATATTCGTCAATATGAATACTTGGTGGAACATATATACTAAAAATATACATGTTTTTAGAAACTAGCTTTAATTTTATAGCAATTATATCAATATTAGGTATTTCTTTGAATAAACCAACTGAAGAATTATGATCAAATAGAGACGCGTTAAAATATTTTTTAATTGCTAATAGAACGCCTTCACCCCTTGTATTATTCGTAAGAGCATACTTTCTATCAGAACGAAAAACATCATAATAATTTAAATTTAGCAGCTCGCCATTATGGAATCAGTAAATGCATAAATATCAAATGGACATGCCACTGATGTATTAAGGTATACTTCATTTAACTTTGTCCGAATTCCCCTTAAATTTTGATAGTAACAAAGTAACGTATTGGCGTCAGGTATGTTTTTAATTAGAACATCATCAGTGTTTTTGATTATCGGTAGTTGCTATGGTGGAGAAAGTATATTAGATTTGTGTCTATTCAAAGCAAGTTTATAAACAGGACAGTCTTGATCCCAAGCAGCATAAATGGCAGAATCTTGACGCTCGGCACTTTATTATAATTATGACAGTTGATACAATATCTATCTGAAGTGGTACAATCTTCTAATTTGTGGTTTTTTGCGCATAATGGACAAATATGATTCACCCCTTTACCATTAAAAGCTACGCCTATGGATTTAAAATAAATTGTCATCCATATTCGCCAAACCTGCACGTTATTGATGCAAATTTGCAATTATTTTTTAATAAATCAATCGTTAAAATTCCATACGATATTCCTGATAAAATTATCTATTTGTGAATACCTACATACTACATACTTAGTGTTTATTTAGTTTATTTCAATTAGCTTTAGTTATTTTAGATAAATGCGCATGTATACACACGCACTCTGAAACATCCTTAAATCTTTCAATCTTAATTTCCAAGCTTAGTCGTTTTATAATAGAGAAATGTTCTGTTTTTATTTCAAACACAAATCGGCTGCAATTTTCATGGCTGCTTTTACATTGGTAAGTAAGATAATTTTTAAAATTCTTTATTTGTATGAGCTGAAATAGATAAATCACTATTTTTAAACAAGTAAAGTTTCTAATTATTTTTTTATACACAACTACTATTAGTAAAATTGAATCATATGGTTAGTCTTACTTACAGGGTGATCTTAATATTTTATTTCTTATTTCAGATAACCGGTATAACTGGAATTTTAATGTACACAGGAAGGTTACATAAAATAAAATTAAACTTTGAAGAGGACTATTTATATTTCTCTATTTTTCATTTGATAGCGAGTATTATTATAATTAGTGGATTAATCTGGGTTCGTTGAAATATCTTCTACAGTTTTTTTTATATTTCTTTGTTTGAATTTTTTGTATCTTTTCAGGAAGAGCCAATCCTAATTCTGTTATACGAAGGGCTTCATTTAGCTACTTTGACAGCATTTTTGACGTATACTGTAGTTTATATACCGGTGGGAAGAACTTTTGCAGTTATCATTGTTTCTTCATGTAAGTAGGTATACAATAAAAATCAATACATATTGTATGTTTTGTACAATTTGCTATATTCTAAAATACAGAGATAATTAAATGACATCAAATACAGTGGACGAAAGAAATACAGGGTATATGGCCATTTTCGAGTTGTACAGTTATTTATTGTAAATTTCCCACTATTTGATTGTAAATGTAATGTGTTATTTTTCCTTACACTGTATAAACAATAAATAATTATATAATCACGAATGTATTCCCACACTCCTCATTCGTAGTGCTTTAGTCCACATATAGTTCTCTAAAAAACAAATATCGTTAAGTTTCCATTGAAAAATGCAGTCTTCACATCAAGATGTTCAACTTTCATCCACTATTTTCCTACTGTAGATATAAATCATAATCTGTTTCATACTTTTGGGAGAAATCTTGACAACGGATTATGTTCCCTTCAGAATTAAATTTTATTATATAAACCCGGACGTTAAATCTACTAAATTCCATGTTTTATGTTTTTTTTTAACTTTTCTAGTTCTTTTCCATTCTTCCTTGTTTTTGTTACTAAAACTTTATACTTCTAAAATTTTATTTACTTTGTCTATTGCATCTATTAGTATTTTAGGTGGCTCCCATTTGGTGATTCTTGTCGATCTCCTCAATCTACTGTCTTCTCTTGTCACATTTTCTGCTTCTCTTGCTTCCTCTTCATTATCCTCCTCCTGAAACGGCACGTCTGAAGCTGAATTACTGGTGTTGGTACTGCCACTGTTAGCTGGAGTTTTACTTATTAGAGAGACAGCATTTTCAGCAGATATTTTACTCGTATCGGAAGCTACTGAAGTTAAAGAATGTAAAAGACTGACCTCCTTACTCATACAGACCAAAAACATTTTGGATATGTTTTAAAAATGTTACATTGAAATATTTGTAATGTATAAATATTATGAAACGTCCAAGAAAGATATTTATGAAATAAAAATTTGAAATCTTTCTGAAATAATACGTAGTATTTTCCTTAAATAAGCATTTCGTCTTTCTCTGTTAAAAAGCTGTTTTTGTCACGTTTTTGGCGTGCACATAGATCAGATTGAATCATATCAAGAGGATCTTTAGTTGACAAAAGGCTTAGTTGCGAGAAGCACCCTTCAGACGATTATTTATATATCACTAAATAAGTATTTAATCTCTGTAATAAAAGACACAGTTTTTTTATTGAAAAGAAAATTAATGATGGCCCTGAAGACACGAAACGTCATATCAAAGGTTTAATAGTACAGAGTAGTAACAAATTTCATATCAAATATCTACATTTTTTTACATTTTTCAAATAAAATATAGCATATTTGGATTTCACCATATAACTCATAAATGCCAAAAACCCTGTAGATTTTGTTTGGACCGTCCTAATGTTGCTAGAAATAATCAATTTTACTTTAATTCATCCTATTTATACCTATTACGGTTTAGAATATAGCAATTTTGGTACATGATAATAAAAACATCCTATATGGTCAATTTAATTTGTGATAGATACCATTAGGAATTTTCCTCCTCTTTCTCTGAAAGTTTCTCTAATTTTGTTACCTCCATACTATTCAATAATGCGTGCTCCCAAGCACATTTATAAGGTCGACATCAAAAATATATATCTGTTATTCAATTGTGTATACTGCATACAAATTAGAATACATTAGGTTTATTCTTCTAAAAATTTAAACGATTTGGAAATTCAACTATCAACCAGATTACTTGGTATTGAAATGAAATAAAACAAATCCTTGAATGCAGAATAAATTTCTAAAGAACCCAAAAATACCATTTTAATTGAGTGAATAAATTTAAACCAATAATACACAAAGGTCATACAAGAATTTTACATGAAAATTGTATTTTTTAGGTTTTGTCGTTTATTGCATCTTCAACGTGTACCTTTACCAAGAAGAGATGAAATTAAAAAAGAAATTTCAAATGGGAAAAATTTATTTCAGTGAAATCATCTATTTCCGTAACAATAATATACAATAAATCTTAGAACGTACACAGTAATAAATACAAAATATTCTTTCTATGTCTAGATATTTTCTCACTTCATAAAAATCACAATGTTTAGCAGACAAAAATTGTAAAATCTAGCAAGCTACGCCCTGCGCACTACAAATTGAGCAATAGCTCAAAATCGTTGGTGGAGATAAATGGAGCATTTTTATTTTGGGATGGATTTTTAAAACCTTAAATATTCCTATACAAACCACCCCCCAATCGCCCCCCCCCCAGTATATTACCAGGCCATTTTGATGAATCCAGATCATATGTAGGACACTCCCTGTAGTAATCAAGGTTTTGTTCATATTTTGCTCTATCAAGTCAGGATTTTGAGATACCTATCCTAACTTTTATATACAAAATGGTCCGTTTTAGTTACATTTAGATAAGTACCAAATAATCTAATTATTACAAATTAGAAATATGTATAATAATAACTGTTTTAAGTATAATACAAGAAATAAGTAGAATTTGACACAAAAAGACTTTCAGGGTATATTTAAGATTTAAAAGAAGCCCAATACAAAAATAAAAGCGAACATAACTATTTCCCCACCAACAGCTCAAAATATTCTTTATTTTACAATTTTATCGTGTAAAATTTTATTTCAAAATTGACATTACCCAGCTGCTTTTTTAATAGGCATAAATGCACATTTTTAGTTAGGTACGTATTTTATTTATTATTAAATGGCTAGTTTTATTTATTTTTACGTATAGTTTATAAGAAGAAGAAATTATTAACATTAGGCATAAAGAAATATTGCTGCTGCTTTAAACATGTTCAGTTGAACTAGGTACAAAATTTTAATCAAAGAATTATTTCTATATTTCATTAAATACTACATATCAGATTAATTTCGAATGGGTTATGAATTTTGGGTATATAACTCATTTATATCTTGTAACTCTACGATACTCTGCAGTGGTGTCATTTTTAGTAACACGAATCTTATGGAAAAAATTTTCCTCATGGCATCTCCACAGATACCTCCATAATCAGATGAGAGCTATTTAAATTATACATTGGCATTTCTCTTTTCTGATACGAATGTGTATACTCGTATTATAAACATGTTCTATTCACAAGAAAGTGTTTTATTTTTTTTAATATCGCAAAATTCAATGTAACTTTTTTGTCCGACAATGTCATTTATATCATTTTCCTCTACCATTTAATAATAATTTAAATTTTTGGGACTTATAAGCTAAGCTATACATATATATTGTTATTGTCTTAATTCCAAAAGGAACCAACCCTGCAATGGTCAACATCAAACACAAATATCAAGATTTCAAGAAATAAATTTTAAAAAATGTAACGAAAAACTTAATTTTATATAACTTTCATTAAATATAGAAAAAGAAAATATATTTATTCGACCGGATTTAGGCCCATGTTAATAATAATTATAAATATCCTGAATGTATCATTGTCTTTTAACAAATGGTCTGGGTCACTAATTATAAATATCTACAAAATAGAAAATTTTAACCTTTTATAAGCAGTTCAATATTTTTTTATTACTATTTATTAATATCTTTCTTCTTTTTTATTTATATTCGTTGCATTTAGTCTCTTCAGTTTCATTTCATAAAATTTTTATTGACTAACGAAGTCTTTAATTTCCTATCTAAATTTTCAGCGAAGTATTAATTTATTTATTATTGATCTATTTGTACAAATAAAAAAAAATTAAGAACAGTTCATGTTCTTTGTACCTGTAATTCTAACGAAACCTGTTTGAAAAACATCTTTATCGCTAGCCGAGTTGATATAATAAGTAAGCAGTTTTTCTGCGGCCAATGGATGCCACACACCGAAAGTACACGAAGGGTTATCTTCGGGATCGTAGTAGTGACATCTTTTGGTTACTCTCACAGATGGGACGTATTCGAATATATCTACAAAGCCGCAATAAGGAAGAAGTAGCCGAAGACCTGAAAAAGAAAAGTTTATAACTCTATGTAATAATGGAATCATGATCAATCTACGAACTGAAAAATGTAAAATTTTATTGTATATTGAGTTACTTACCCAAAAATCCGGAAGATGGCGGATTCCTTCTGAGCATACTAGGGGAATTATCCTGCAAAAAGTCCCAAACATCCCAAACGCTTTGTGGGTTCAACAAAAACGTCCTAGATTTAGGATAATTTTTTCTAAAAGCCATGTAATTCGGAAGCAGATTGAATTCAGGTTTCTCCAACCAATCTTTGATAGAAGATGAATAATTACTAGGATCCCAAGCTACTATAGTGACATTTTTGTATAGAGGTGAATTCAAAAAGTTGAATTGGGGTTTTGTTGCGACTTGGGAATTGAGGAATCGAATTGTTGTTTTGCTACCCACATCCTGTTCGAATCCTTTTGTTGGGGCGTTATTGAATCTCAAAACCAAATCATGAGAATCTAAAAATTAAAATAACAGAGGTATAACATTAGGTCATCTAAGCGTATTTCAGCATACGAATATAAAATATGGGGAGTAATATACCTATTAATGCACCAAGCTTGGAGTCTTTCAGTGAGCCAGCACTGGCCACTATAGCACAACTATTATACCGCTTATTTTCGAAAAAGGCTCTTTTAGGAATAAAATCTTTTAAAGGGTAGCTTCTTATATCAGACCTCTTTATTGTATTCAAGGGCGTATCAATTAATTCACATAACACCTTCCTAGGAATTTTTTCCATAAAGTTCCCCCTAACACCTCGATACTCGACATTATATGGATTTTCCTTGCCCATTCTCAAGATATTACTTTCATCTGTAAAAACCCTTCTTAGCTCGTTGATAATATTTTCTCTAAAGTCAGACGTTTTTTTATCACAGTCATTTGAGCTGTCATTTTTTAGACAAACGAATCGTTTTGAGTCTAGCTGAAAATCTTTCGGTTGTAGATTCGGAAACCTTGGTCTGCTATTTTTAATTAATGTTACTGTGAGATTCTCTTTTAAAATTGAATGTTTTTGCCTTGATTTTGGTTGTAAATGGACTACACTACAATTAAAAAAATATTAATTAAAATAAATAAAAGTTAATTAAATTATTTATCACCTATTATTCGGGAAATAGCCTCTGTTGTAATAGAATATTTGTTGGTCATAATTTGATAATGATACCTCTGTTTGCCGTTCCATATACAACCAATATTGCGACCAAAGAAGGTACATATATCCGCACATTCCAAAAAATACCAGGTTGATAAACACCCATATTGATACAGCTAGAGCACGCATTTCACAGGCTATCTAAAAAAATATTTAAAATTATAAAAGCTACCGGACTAATATTTGTATACCAATTTGTTGCACTAATCCACCAGACTATCGAGAAGGAATAGTGTGAAGATAGGTACACAACACACAAGGAGAGAGACAAGAGATTGGATAAAGAAAGAGGTACACAAAAATCAATACTACTTAAATTTTTTTGTATCTACATTCAAAAAAAGAAAACTACGATATGAAATATAAAATATAATTAAATAAAATAATATTAGGTATCCGTTTACTTACAATATTCTAATTTATTTATTTTTTACGGATTTCCATGGTCTCCAATAAAATAGGATCTACAGAACAACACATCCATGCCCCTGGAAATTATGGAATCACCTAGGCATGCGTGTTAAATAAATTACATAAATATAGGTTTGGGGTCGGTTTTTGGTCCTTTAAAGCCGAAAAATGGAAATTTAAAAAGTTTGTGAACGTTTATGAAAAAATGAAATGGTTAGCTTAAGCGAGGAATTCGAAAGAACGTGGGTAACTTGTTTAATAGGTATAGGTTTATTGGGTTTTGGATGCTGGTTACTGACTTGGAATGAGGTTAGAAATTTTTTTATTATTGTATCCAAATATTTAATAATTTTATTTACAGGGTAGAGCAGTCCACCATGCTCATTCCTTAGATGAGACATATCAAAATGCTGTAATTTTAAACCTTTACGATTTACCTTTAGATTCCCAAAATGGCAAGGTAGTACATGTTACAGGAAACCTTTTAATTGATGAACCCTTAACGGAATCTGAGTACGGTGTAGCTATTCAAGCTGTAAAACTAAAAAGAAGGGTGCAAATGTATCAATGGGTCGAAGAAAGATCGTAATTTTTTAACTATATTTAAATAAAACTATTTTTTTGTCTTATATAATAATTTTTAGACCAAGGACTGACGATGATGATACAAATGCAGGTACTTTCAATTCGATTAGTGACTATTATTATGTCACTGAATGGAGGGATAAATTAGTAGATAGTACCAATTTTTATATTAGACATGGACATGAAAATCCAAGGTAACATTTGTTATAATAGGTTTAGCTAAATTATGAGTAAAATTCAGTTAATATTTTGGTTTGTCTTTGGTACACGTTTTATATTCTTGATTTATAAATTTAAATCCTTTACATTCACTGCTTATCAGCTCATTTATAATAGTGTCCTGGCAATTTGCCACACTTTCGCTTTTCATAATTTATATCAAAAATTGTTACAATGTAATTGTTGGAATGGTTATCATATTTAACAAATTGGTCGCAAGCGGTATATCTTAACAAATTCAAATTTCCTCTGGTGTACCTCAAGGAAGCCATTTAAGCCCTTTGTTATTTAATATATTTATCAATGATATTGCCAAACTATTTGCTAATTGTAGATTTTTACGGTTTGTAGAGTACCTTATACTCTATTCTGCAGTCAGTGATCTCAATAGTTTTATTAAATGATCTTGATAAATTACATGATTGGAGTCAGGTCAATCAGTTAGCCCTTAATATCAACCTGGTGTTTTCAAGACTTGAAAAAACTCCAGCTCTATATCCACATTAAAATATTGCAGGGATATCTTATGAAAAATTATATAGTATACAGGATCTTGGAGTGATCATTGATAGTAGGAAGAACTTTATGAGGCAATAAGAATGTATCCCAAATAGAGGATTCAACTTGAATACCTTCAATTATTTATATCTTGCCCTAGTTCTACTAATTCTTAAATACACAGCAGTTATTTGATGTCCAGTGTATCAAAACCATATTTAGAAAGTGTACAAAATCGATTTTTGATATATATTTCTTCTAAATTACATATCCCATCAGAATATTTCTCAGCTACGCAAATAATAAGACAACAAATTCAAAATTGGATAAACGAAGATTCTTATAATTTCATCAAATATTCTTAATCACTGTCTATGATTTCTTTTCAAATACCACCATATACATAATTTCAGAAACAGAAATATATGTCATTCCTTTTCATACTAATCACTTCATATTCTTCCAAATTTGCTGTTGATTTCTTCAATACATCCCTATATTCTTTTAAATGTAAATTTAATTCTGCATAAATAATATTACTATTTTATATACTATATTCTTTTTTGTAGCCTAATGTTAAAACTTGAAATATGTATTAAACATGAGTATAATTAGAAATAAATAAATAAATTTCATGTCTATAACATATCCATCCAATCACCTCTGATAACAGTCACATAAAAAGATATTCTGATATCTTACTCTAAAAAAATTTAGTCAAATTATGTTTTAGAGAAATTCCCTTAAAATCTGTAACGTATGTAGCCCCAGTGGTTAAATTAGGCCACCTTGAACTAGGTGAAGAAATTAAAGAAAAATTTGATGAATTTGTTGAGATTACTAGTGATGAAAGACCTGAACGAAAAGATGTAAAGCTACATATGGGTATATATTATCATTGTGATGATATATGGAACCCAGAAGTTGGTGATATGAGAGTCCAATTTTATTATGCTGGAGGAACTGGTGAGGCAGTATGTACTCATTATACAAATTAAAATTTACATCAAAATGTTAATTCACTTCTATCATAGCTATATCTGTATGTTTTAGGTTACAATTATAGCTAAACAAGATAACGATGCATTGGTTCCTTATGAAACAACAGGAGGGCACAGTATTGCTCTCTTAAGACAAGGAAATTTAAATATTAATCAAATGTTTTCAGCAGAACATTTTGATGCCAGACTGGAAACTTGGAAATTTCGAGGGATTGGAGTCTTTATTTTATATGCTTCCAGTGTTTGTCTTTCTAGAATTTTAAAAATCATGTGTGAGTTAATAACAAATCTTTTGATGTTTCTGATATATTTTTTTTATGAGGATCATTTTTCTACTTATATTCTTTATTAGTTTTCCAGGTTCACTTTTCAAATTTCTACAATGGTGAAGCAACTTCATTTGCAAATATTGTACTGGCGTTTTCAGTCGCCCTCTGTGTGATAGCTACAGCTTGGATTATGTACCGACCAATGTTAGGCGCAAGTCTGTTCTTTGCTGCTGTTAGCCCCTTTTTATATTTAATGATGGGAGTGTACAATGAGCAGAATATTCATATTAATTGAATATGTATAGTCCATCTGAGTGATTTAGTTACCTAATTTATTTTGTTCTTTGTTTCTTTTTTAATAATATGTGTTTTTTACTAATTAATAAATTTTTTAAATTGTGGTCTATTTTTATTGTAATTTTGAATATTACTTCCGAGGCATTATACAAATGGAAAAAAAACTTATTAAAAAGTTCTATATCAATTGTGAATCCATAATCAAGTATTAAATTTTGTAAAATATAGAGCAAAATATTAATTAAAATGTTGAATTTTAATTTAATCAATAAATAATGCTAAAAGTATCGGAATTTTTTTAATTTTACTAATTTTATCATAATGATCGATTTCCAAGTAGTGTAGAACATTTTATCAAATGATTTTTTTGTGAATTGTAAAACTTTTTGGGACACACTGTATGTGCTCGATAGATATGCAAGTTTTGCCCCTCTAAATGGGTTGCTTTGTTAAATAAATACAGACCACGATAAATTAGAAGAATAAATTTGACTTTGACACATGTCATAACCGTTCATAACCTCAATAAACAAATTTATCAAAATACATAATTTTCTAAAGGAATGAAAGCATTTTTGCATAGTTTTACATTATTATTTTTAATAATTATTTTATTCAAATACAACTCTTCAAATTATACCTGCTCTAATCAAAATGAAACTGACTGCGCAATTAAAAAAATCAATAAATACTCCAAAGGTAAGTTAACTTCTATTAGAATCTTCCGTTTTAATTTTAAATATTCCAGATGTAAACTTAAAGTATAACAAATATTTGAAAGCAATAGAAGATGCCAGAAAGAATTATTCTCCTTGTGAGAATATAAAATGTTCATGTTATTCCCATGTAATTTCGAATGATTTGGAACCTTTCAAAAACGGCATATCTAAACAAATTCTAGATGATATCAAATCAAAGTAAGATTATTACAATTAATTCATTTGGAATAATGTTTAAAATGTGAAATTTGTTATTTTAGGGGTACCAAATATCAAATAATCAACAACCGTCTGTACCGTGATGAACATTGTATGTTTCCAGCTAGATGCTTGGGAGTTGAACATTTCCTATTGGAATTAATTCAACAATTACCGGATGTTGAATTTATTCTGAACACAAGAGATTGGCCACAGATACATAAAACACACAGATTAGTTGCTCCTGTATTTTCATTTAGCAAAACTGCTGATTATTATGATATTATGTACCCAGCATGGGCTTTTTGGGAAGGAGGCCCTGCTATAAGTTTATACCCGAGAGGCATAGGTACAGTTATTTTAAGAGTGGAAAGTAATCCTAAAATTGTAACCCTTTTATATATTCCAGGAAGATGGGATATACACAGAAAACAGTTGGGATTCTTAGGAAATTCTACCAATTGGTCTGATAAAATGTCAAAAGTGTTTTTCAGGGGTTCTAGAACAAGTGCCGAAAGGGATCCTTTGATACTTTTGTCTAGAGAGTATCCTGATTTGGTTGATGCTGCTTATACAAAAAATCAAGCTTGGAAGTCCGATGCTGTAAGTATTCATATGTTAAATTGGACCTTAGTAAATTTTATTTAATACTTAATAATATATGAATGAGTATGAGTTTTCTATACATTACAACTGCTTAATATTTAGTGATGTTTTTATTTGTCTCCTGGGGATACTGAACATTTTGGATCATAACTTTTTAAGTTTGACAATATTAGATATTTAGTTGAAAACGTGAAGTGTGAACTCAAGTTATATTGTGATTTTAGAGTATAATTTGCATATTCATTGATGTTTATTTATTTGTAGTATTAAAGTAGTTATTATTATTCTTAAAATTAATGTATTCTCGAAAATAAGGTGGCACCAAACCATTTAATACATTATATATAAACACCATTGGCCAAATAGTATAATCTCTGGTAAATTGAAGTCCATTTCAGTGATCTAAGCATGGTAAATATTGGAGTATATTCTTTATTTAGCTTTGCTAATAAAAAAGAGTTCCTTTATCACAAGAAAGTATTATCCTCATTGCCATGTTTTGAAGTTTCTGCAACCTGTTTATTTCATTTTGGTTTAGCAAATATAAAATTGTGGCACAATACGTAAAATGGGATAGAATTAAACTATTATAAAGAAGCTTTAAAGACCATTGGTTAAGATGTTTTGAGCTGATTTTAAATAATGTTGTTTTAATAATATAATTAGCATGTTCTTTAAATAGTAACATATAGTCAACTATGACACCCAGATATTTAAATTTTTTAACAACTTCAATATTACTATTTTCTATATTTACTTTTAGGTTATTAATATTATATTTTTGATAGTTTTTGTCATTTCCTATAATCATGAACTTAGTTTTATTGTTATTAATTTTTAAAGAATTAAAACAGCTCCATTGAAATATTTCTTTTAGTGTGTAATTTGTATTTTCAATTATTTCATGTAACTTGTCTGAAGCAAAATAGATCAAAGTCATCCGCAAATAAAATAATGTAACAGTTTCTTGCGACACGTGCGATATCATCAATGTACAAGGGGGACAATAATGGCCCTAACACACTTCCTTGCACGACACCTTGTTCATTTTGGATTTCATCTGATGTAATGTTAAACTTTAGCTTCTGTTTTCTGATATCTAAATAATTTATTAACTATTCCAAAACTTTCTTATTTAGTAATAAGTAATATACAATCTACAGTTTCGAATGCACTTTGTAAATCAAGAAATAGAGCACCAGTAATTAATTTAATATTTTTATTTTGCTTGAAGTGATCTAGGCCATATTGTATTGCTGCGGCTCTATTTGAATTTGAGACTTTAGGGATTGGTATGATAACTGAAGTTTTCAAGGCTGTAGGAACTATATTCATTTCTAAGGAGGTGTTTATGATATTAAGCAATGACAAGGCTATGTTTGCAAAACAGTTTTTTAATTATTTCATCCGAACTTCCTTTATTGGGTAAGTCAATAATAATTTCTCTCATTGTGTCGATGTCAATGAAGTTGCATTTCTTAAAAAACACATTGTTATTCTTAAGGAGGTCCTTTCGCCACACCTCTCGCCTCAAATGTTAAAAAAAAAGTTATTAGATTATGACTAAAATTAATTTTTTTCTAATAGTTGAAGTCCTTATTTATCTAATACTGAACTTTTAACTATACCTTACCTTGCAAATTTTTGAGAATTTTTTTTTTTAAATGTGAGTATTTGTACAGTGCCTCACGAGAAAGTAAGTCCTCAACAACAATTCTCGAATTATACTATTATTAATTGATTAGATGGAGTAGAAAAAAACTAAAAATAAGGTTTTTGAAATATTTAGATTTTGTTTTATACAATAAAATATATATAGTAAACCGTGGAACTTATTGAGAAATTAATATTAAAAAATCACAAAAAATTTTCAAGTAACCTAGTTGAAAATTTTTTGTGATTTTTTAATAATAATTTCTCAATAAATTCCACGGTAACCTATATATTTTATTGTGAAAAACAAAACCTAAATATTTCAAAAACCTTATTTTTAGTTTTTTTCTACTCCATCTAATCAATAAATAATAGTAAAATTAATTATAATTCGAAAATTGTTGTTGAAGTCTTACTTTCTCATAAGACACTGTACAAACACACACATTTTAAAAAAAAAAAATTTTCTCAAAAAGTTGCACGGTAAGGTATAGTTAAAAGTTCACTATTAGATAAATAAGGACATCTACTATTAGAAAAAAATTAATTTTAGTCATAGTCTAATATTTTTTATTTAACATTGGTGGCGAAAGGACCTCCTTAAGTGCTACAGGAAAATTTCTATTATTACGATTTATATTAGAAATAATTTCTTTTATACTATTATAGAAGTTGTTAAGGGCATTGGGGATCTCAATTATATCTTTTATTATTAGATTATCATTTATCTCTATTTCCGTTACACTATTTTGTTTATTTTTAGGCAAAAGGTCTTTCATAACTTTCCAAAGTTTAACAGAATTTTGTTTATTTTCACTTCATAATATTTACTTTTTTCTTTTCTAATAATTCTAACTGCTATGTTTCGATTTTGTTTCTATATTTGCCTATTTTCTTCAGTTTTGTTAGATACATACCTTTTATAACTATCATCCCTATTCCTCATAGCATTTCTGACTTCCTGATTCCACCAGTCTTTATAATTAGAAAATATCTTAACAGGTCTTCTTGGTGCCACCTCATCAAATACTGTCATTAAATGTTGGTAGAAGTTAATATATCTCTTATCTCTCATTAATATTGACAGTATAATTCTAGTATAATTTATTTTTTCAAAATCAATTACTCTACCTCGACTTTCTATTATTTGAGACTCCTTATTATTAATTGGTTTAAAATCTCTATACACCTCGACATTAAAATGGGTACTTATTTTAAGATTGACATTAAAATCATTACAATAATGTATTGACAATAAAAATAAATTTGTATGTAGGCAAGACTTCAACTTACTATTTAAATTTCTAAATGATGGAAATCTTTTATTCTGAAAATCAGTTGAACCACCTATTATAATAACAGTATCATTTAATGTCTAATTCTGTGTTAACTGTGGCAAACAATTATGTTATGATAACAAGCAAAAGGTTTAATAATGGTCTGTACACTTGCATTTTTGTAACGATTCCTTAACATTTGACCCAAATTATACCCAAACTGATCAGAAACAATTAAAATCTTGCACGGTTCATTTACCGTATTTGTAGCAACTTGAATGGGATCCTTTATGCTTCCGTTGTTCTCTGAAGATTTTTCATTACAGGTTTTTGGCCTAAGACTTGGAGTTTCTTGATGTATCAGAGATTTTTAATTGTAATTCCTGTCTCAAATTGTTTAATTCCTTCAGGTAACTATTATTTTCCTGTTCTAAAATTTTGATTGACTACCATTTGTCGACTAATCTGTTCTAATTCCATAATTCTATTTTCTATTGTTAAAACCAATTAATTTTTATTTTCCAATTCATTTTCATACAATTTTACAGTTCAGTAATTCTTCTTTTTAAATTCAATATTGTATCTATTTGATTCTTTAAATTCTGTGCATCTCTCAAACTCAAACACGTCTTTTTCTTTAGCCGCTTTATATAGTTGTCTTTTTCCCGATTTACACTTTCTAGTTCTTTGATTTTTAATTGTAATTCTTCGATTTGTTCTTGTTTTTCATAATCTTTTCTGAAGAACTGAGATTTTGCAGTTTTTGTAACTGTGTCGTTTGGCTTAGGTTGAAAAGGAAGATATCCGATGAACAATAATCAAAATGTGGTTGAATAATTGAATGATAAACTGTAATTTTAGTTTCAACTGATAAGTTTAAGTAGTTTCTTTGATGAGAAAATTGCCACAACATTCACATTGACATTCTACTCCATATATCTGACATATATCTCATCCAATTTTATGAATTTTGAACTATTTGTTTTTAAATTTATAGAGACAACCCAATTCGTAGAATTATGTTATACTAGAGTTAAAATTAATGCCACACGGGGACTTTTAATTCAAATAAGATTTATTAATAATCGTTCAGTATTATTTTTTGGACAATGTTCTGAAATTTGTGGAGCAAATCATACATTTATATCTATTGCATTAGAAAGAATTTCCTCATCAATTTTGACTAAATGATTTATAAAAATAATTAGGTACATAATAAATGTCATGGTATATTTTTTTTATATATATTAACAATTTTTTTTTAAAGGATACCCTTCATGCACCTCCTGCCAAAGAAGTATCATTTGAAGACCACTGCCAGTACAAATATCTATTTAACTTTCGAGGAGTTGCTGCCAGTTTTCGCTTCAAACACATGTTCCTCTGTAAATCTTTAGTTTTTCACGTCGGAAAAGAATGGCAAGAATTTTTCTACTCACCTTTAAAACCGTGGATACATTACATTCCTATAGAAGCTAATTCCAGTAAAGAAAAACTTCTTGAAATATTACAGTTTGTAAAAAATAACGACGACATTGCTAAGGAAATAGCTGAAAATGGTTATAACTTTATTTGGAACAATTTGAAGTTGTCCGATGTTAGATGTTACTGGAAAAAATTGATTAAAAAATATGCTAAGTTACTGACTTTTAAACCTGTTCTGGATGAGAAACTAATTGAAATTAAGGGGAAGTAATAATATGTTCTTATACACCAAAGGAAATTTATTTGCTACAATAGATTCCCTCTAGGTATTTACAGATTTTTCAAATTTAAAAACATCAGGTTTAGTTTGTACTTTGTTTTGAAAGGTTTATTTATAGATGTCAAAAAGGTGTTTTGGTACAACTGTCAAAAAAAGGTTTTACTCTCAGATAAACAAAAGAACTAGAAACAGGCATTCCTTTAACATAAAGCTTTGTTTGAAGCAAGTATGTATAAATGTTTGACAGTTTGGTTCTCCTCACAAAAACCAAAATATTAAAAACAGTAATAGGAAATAAATAAGTTTATGTTTTTAATTATAAGTGATTTATTTTAGGTGAATCATTTTTTGCACATCTCCTTTTAGCATTTTTTGTGTTTTTTATCCCAAATTGAATCAGTCTTTCAGATCTAATGACAGGCCTTTTACTTACAGTTCCATATCACTTGTCTCAATATTTTTTCAGTGCCCCAACAAGCCAAAATCTGTTAGCTATAGATTATACATATACAAAGTGGCCAAAAACGTCTCTAGTGGGGCTAAGCTGCTGTTTGCTCTCTAGATCCATATTTTGGGTGAATTTATCCATTTTTCCGTATCCTGTACTTTTTCTTTCCAATTATTCACTCCTGCCCTGCGTGGATAGGGTTGCCACCTTTTCATTTCTCAAAACCCGGACCTTTGTGAAATTTCTAAAAAAAAAAGAAAGAAAGTCTTCAGCTCATAATTTTATAAACCAGGTCCTTCTGTCGAGAGATTCTAAAAACAAAGGTCTATTTATACACCAGCAGGTCCTTCTGTCGAGGTTTTAAGAAAAGTTATTCAGATATTCCCGGACATTTTCATCGTGCGACCGGACACCGGACAAATTGTTCAAAACCTGCACAGTTCGGGTGAAACCCATACAGGTAGCATCTCTATGCGTAGATCTTCTTTCACTTCCTTCAGCCATCCTGCTCTGGGTCTTGCACTCCCTCTGGGGTCCCATCGTAACATTGAATTAACTAATATTCCATTTCCTGCTCTCCAAATGTGTCCCAACTATCTAACTTTAGATTGTTTTATTTTTGTTATTATTTCTTCTTCTAGCTCTTAATGTCATCATTTGTTCTAATTCTGCATTCTTCTTCTGTGATTGGTCCTAATATTGCTCCCATAAATTTTCTTTCCATAATTCTTGGATCTTCCTCTTTTCCATGATTTTTCTTATTTTTCAAATTGTCACTATGTCATCTGCATATGCAACGACTTCTCCTCCCCCTGTTCTCAGTGTCCCATTATTAATTTCACATACTCTAGTAAGAAGTTGATAGCTGATAGCGAATCTCCCTGCTTCACTCCTTTATTAATTATGAATTCTTCTGTGACTACTTTTTGTGTTTTAATGATAATTTTTGTCTCTTGTATCGTTATTGAATTAGTCACATTAACTTTATTGGTATTCCTAATTTTTGTAGGGCTAACTGCAGTTTTGTTCTTTTTCTTGAGTCAAAGGCTTATTTAAAGTCTATTTTATGGTCATACGCCTTTTCCATTATTGGCTTTATTACACGGATTGCATCTGTAGTTGATTTTCTCAGGGTGAATTCACATTGGTACTGTCAAATCACCTTTTTTGTTGTTTGCGCTAGCCGTCTTTGTATTATTGCTGAAAGTATTTTGTAAGCTGTATTAAGAAGTGTTATTCCTCTGTAGTTTTGAGATATTTGTTGGTCACCTTTTTTGTAGATTGTTATCACCTCTCCTATTTCCCACTCTCGGCATTTTTTCCTCTATCCATATTTTCTGAATTGGACATAATAGTCTTTCTTTAAATTAGGTGCCTCCATATTTAATGAGTACGATCTTAATTCTATCTTGTCCTGGTGATTTCCCATTTGTCTGTAATTTTGACACATTTGTTGGTCACCCTTTTTATGGATTGTTATCACCTCTTCTATTTCCCACTCTCGGCATTTAATAGTCTTTCTTTAAATTAGGTGCCTGCATATTTAACGAGTACGATCTTAATTCCATCTTTTCCTGGTGATTTTCCATTTGCATTTTTCCCGATGACTTTTTCTATCTCTTCTCTTGTTGGATCAACAATTTTGTCCCTTTCTTCTATTTCCTCTTCTTATATCATTCCAGATTCTTCCATCTTCAGATCGATTAAGAGATCTTTAAAGTAATCTATCCACACATGTTTGTATTCTTCATCTCATTTTCCAGTATCACTTCTCTTTTTTTATTTTTTATTCCCTTAGTTTTCCTTTCGTAGATTTTTTTCTGTTCTTTAATTTTCTTGTAAACGTCTTTTGTATTTTTCTTACGTCCTTCCTTCTTGTTCAATTATATTAAGTTTATTGCCTTTTTCCTATAAGTTTTTTTGGTTTATTTTCTCATTTCTTCATAGTCCATTCTATTTGTTCTCATCTTGCTTGTACCTTTTTTGTTGTTGCTTCAATACTTTTTTCATTTTACCATTATTTTCTTACTTTTTTCTTCTTCTGCTAATTCTATACTTTCTCTAATGGCTTTCCATTCTGCTTCTATTTCATTTTCTTCACATTCTTCAATATTGATTATTTATCTTTTACTTTTTCGTTGTTTAGTTGACTTACATTCCATTTGTGTTGCTTTGTAGTAAACCATAGATTAGAGGAGTGCAAATAGATATTGAACTTTCTGATGGTGTACCAGTATGACTACTAGTACAATCACATTCCACCAGGTTATTAAAAAATCTTATACAATACATGTATTATCACTAAACTGGACATTCCTTATTAATTATAATTCACTCTCTTTAACAACCTATAATAATAGACATACATTGGTATTCTTTTTTTAGCAGTTGTACACAAATTATTGTTTACAGTGAGCAAAATGCAATCTAACAAATCAATATTCTCTGCATAAAAAATCAGTTGATTTCGCACATCTAATACAGAAAAACCTATTTGTTATTTATCTTTACATTTCTTAATATTGACTTGCTTTTGTTGTTGTAAAAGTAAGAAAATATCTCCGTCACATTCCTATGTGTGATACAGTTTGACAATAAATATATAAATATACCATAATAAGGGTAAATATGACAATAATGTTTTATATATGTAAGTCTTTTCGATGTGATTTTATATACATTTCTTGAATTATATAATATACAATAATTATTATAAATAGTATTCCAGTTTTATTATTATATTTAAAAAAAGTAGAACTTTGATATAGGTAAGTGTAACTAATGAAATTTTTTAAACAATTATTATTATAGTAGGTATGTGATTTTTTTTAATTATATATTTATGTTATACCGTAATCTGGGGCAACTTAAGCACCTTTTTCGAACTTTTTCCCAAATATCTTTTTTATTTTTTAAGGCATTTACACCAATTTTTTTTACAAACCGACAACAACATAAGGAAACAGTTAAAGTTTGCAAAAAGTCGTGTTTTTGTTTTATATTATAAAAAATATATATAAAGTTATCCCGGGATTGGGGCAACTTGGTCACCTTTGGAAATTTCTATTAAATGAGCGTTTTTAAAGGTTTGCATGACCAGGATACTCCGGATTCACTTAAAAAAAAAATTAACTTATTTTTTTCTGTTCAAAATTTTCATAAATAGCCCATTTATTAGATTATTACTAAAAAATAACCACAAAAAATGTTGAAAAAATGTATTAAACTTATAAATATAGGTACTTATAACTTATAAAACATAAAAGGAACTCTCAAATGTAACTCAGGTAACACTCTTAACTTAAACTTAATTACTAGGTATGAAGTCTTTGTTTTTCCCAGAATCATCATCATATTCCAACGGTTCTGATGCATCTGAATCGTCACAGTAATTGCATTTAAAATAAGGATATTTACTTCCTTTGTTGCAAGGGCCACATATCCACTTAAGGCATTTAATCCAATCTTGTCCGCCATGAGAGTCTTTCCAATTACAAAAACAAAGGCCACACTTCGCATCTGTTTGACTTTTCTCACTTTTTTGTCTAGGCTGAATTGGACGGGATTTCTTCTTAATTTTGTTCGTTCTAACTACACCAGACGGTCCTGGAACATCTAGTGGCTCCAATGGAAGACTTAATGGTTTTATTGGGGCCTACAAGGTCAGGTACAATAGGTTCATCTGTGGGAGCCACTTCATTATCTGCATCTCTTGCCAAATTTTTACCGGGTTGAATTTTCTTGGTCCTTTTTTTCTTCGGAGATCTTGTAATTACGTCTCGATCGTCTGGTATGATTCCATCAGGAATTCTCTTAAAGACCTCATTTGGATTAGGTGGATAAAGCTCAGTGGCTCGAAATGCAGATATCAAATTTTGGTTGACAGTATCAGACTTGCCGTTCCATAACCTAGAGAGCAAATTGAGAAACTGTTCTTTTGGAAGATTTCCTGGATATCGGCTTTCTTTCCTCCATTGGTCTAAAATCTTTCTCCAGCACTTCTTCATCGGTCCAAATAGAGCCACATCCAGTGGCTGCATTAAATGTGTGGCGTTTGCAGGGAATAACTGAAGACGAAAAGTGACTGGCGAGGTTATCACCCGCCACAATAGTTGTGACGCCGGGTTTTCGGGTTTCCATTATGTGCGGGAAGAGGATTTTGAAAACCCACATCTTAAACAAATTCATGTCAAAGCAACTAGAAGGGCTGCTTGCATATTTCGTTCCTGGAGGGACTCCTTCTGTCCAGTTTTCACAGAGATGTCCAGATTTATAGACAACCCTTTTTGTGTTTCGTTGGACCATCACCGTCTTGGCCCCAGGATCGTTCGTGACGTTAGTTTCGTCGTAGTTGTATATATTAAACTCGTCTGCATCGCTTAGAGCCTCATTTATTAAGGTGAAAAATTTTAAAATATCTCCACGGTCCACGGAGGATCTGGACCTTTTAATGTTCGATGCCAGGCGAATGGAGAGCCTATTCCTCTGGTAAATGCATCTAGAAAATCTTCTCCTGGAATGTTGTTTTTAAAGATACTAACTGTTTTCTTTGTTTGTCTAGGTATTTAGCGATTACCGTCCTTACATCGAGCCTTGTCAATGGGAACCCCTAATTGGCCACCACTCCAAAAGTCTCCGATATACTCCACTCTTCTTCGGCTGACAAGACTCTTGGGCGGCCTACTGAACCCGAATTTTTTCCAAATATTTTCCTAGGCATTTCATATGTTTCGGCTGCTAATTTTTTTCATGTACCCATTTAAACAGCTTCTATGGCTTTTACCAAATTTTCTTTAGAATAATGTTGATAGGGCTTTGCCCCGGGGATTCTCTGGTACTTTCTTACGATTTTCACTGACTATTTACCTGAAACAAAGGAGAGGGACCTGAAAATCCACCAAAAAAAAAGAACAGCCGGATAAATATAAACAAAAACAAAAATTATGTCATAGGTGACCAAGTTACCCCAGATTACGGTACCTAAAATGTAATTTTGGATTGTTTTTCCAACCAACTGCAGTTCAATTCTTAAATTGGTTGCAGTAACCACAAAAATGACATCTCTCATGTGTCTAAGGTTTGTGAAGCGTTTCGCTGCTTAACGGATGAGAGGCTGTGAAGAAAACAGCTTCATTGTGGAAAATGCAATTTTTCACACGAGTAGGAAATATTGTCGCACGAGACATAAGCCGAGTGCGACGATCACAAGAGTGAGAAAAATTACTTTTATACCAGTGATGTACGACAATAAAATAATTTTATCAAAAAAATTAAAACAGTTAAATTTGGTTATGGTAGTTAATCAGGATGTGGTTCTAGATTTGTTTTTTTTTATATGAGTTACTGAATAGTTTTTAAAGTGTTTTATGGATGGTGTTCTGTCGAAATTAAAAACATTGTGATTTCATTTACTAACACTTTCATAGGTAAAATAATGTTAGGTGTACAAAAAATATTTGAATATAATAATGTCACTCGTTTATTTTTTTAATACCACTAATAACCATAAACAAAAACTTTTTTTATTATTAAATTTGATACCTACTTACATTTTTTTTCTGAGCTGTACAAAAAAAATAGCAGAAGGTTTATCAAATTGCCTAATTGTGATAAACAAAATGTATTTAAAATAAATAAACAATATTTACAAAATCCAAAGGTGATAAAGTTGAATTATTAACGATCTGAGCCAAAAAGACTTATGCCAAATGAAATATTTAATCAGATTAATCAGAAAAATATAGTTAGTTACTTTTAAATTATTTTAACAATTGTTAAAAATAAACATTTAAGATCTAGGTTTAAAAATCAATGTTAACAATTTAATCATCATATCATTTTACTATTAATATAGACATTACATAGACTAAAATCATTGCGTTCGGTCTGCCAAGTTCCTTTAACTCCAAACGACCCTTTTAGCGTTCGGTTTAGTCCGATTAGTGACAGTTTAACACGCTTAAATGTCATTTAAAAGCACCCTAAAATTTGTCCCGCTCCAGCCCCTGACTATCCGAACTCGCCTAATAGAAATGATTCGTCTGACATATTTGACAGCTGACGCGGAAAGTAAATTCCTATTCATACATGAGCGGAAAGTAGATTCTTATCCGCACGCGTGTGATAAAAGGCACTTCACATAAGACTAAATAGTAATATATGTGTCACTTTCTTAAGCGGTTGTAGGAAAAGTTATTTACGTACATCTCTGATTTCCATATGGGTACATGAATTATTTATAAAACAATTAGTATATTGAAAGTAATTCTTCTTTCAGAAATATTGCATATGGCAACTTTATTGCTGCATAACATTTCAGAATTGAAATGTAATTATTAGTGTATTTTTCTTTCATGTAAAATTCAGATATCAGAGCGTGAATTGGTAATAGAGCCTTTGTATGGGACTGGAAACATTTTTTTTTACTTAGTAGCTAGCATAACGCGAATAATTTTATAATTCTTCTTAATAAATTATTAATTACATTGAGATACTGTACCATGCCTGTAGCAGAATGTCAATGTACAAGTACTATGAGAATATATGTTGCATTGCGACTAAAAAAATACTTCTGTTGCTAAATCAGCATTAAATTATCAATTTCTAGACACAACCAACTCTTTGGTTTCACATTTAAACAGCTTGTCATTCGACGTCCTGTTTTAACCTAGTTGGGGCTCTTTAGGCAACAGCAGAAAGCCTCCTGTATAATCTCTAACCCACACTGAAAGTAAAAAATAGTTTCTAAAATAAAAGTACCTAATGGCTATTTCATTTTTTTTTTTTTAATTTTATTTTGATCGCTGTACAAATTATTATATTACCAATTCCCAGCTGATTCGTTGATGTTAGTTAATTATTAAATATTACTAAATGTACTTAAGACAATAATGTAATGATCAGTGTAACTAGTATGTGATATGTTTATTGGAAACTCATTAAAATAAGAATTTCTTCATAAAATAGTTCAAAAATATTAATAAATTAAAATAATATTCAGCATTACTTACAAAAAAAAAAGACGAATATAAAAACAATTTAAAAAAACAAATAAATCAATAACCATAAGTTATATAAGCACTAAAACACTAACAATAGAGATACTTACACATTTTGTATATTACTATATTTAAAACAATATGGGGTATTTCATAGAACAGAAACAAAAAATATATGGTTAATTGGTTTCAACCACAGCCATTGGACTAAATTTAGAAAAAGCATTACTTTATAATATTTAAATTTAATAAAATAAGTATATCTTTTATTTTAAATCTCTATTTAAACTTGGAACTCTAATTAAGAAGTTAGAGTTCCTCTCTGTTACTCTTTACATGTAATCTTACTTCAAAATCTTATTAAAAATTATAGTTTTTATGAAGCGAAAAAATTTCATCCGATGTCATGTCATACAATTATTTTAGTAATGCCAATTCGTTGTAAGTACATATACCCGCAAAAATAGGTCCATTGGACGTCCATTCGATATACAATTTTGGATATCTGGATGTCCAAAAATGAGTTTATTCTGGACTTCCGATATCCAATGGACGTCCAGTGAAGTCTATAAATGGCACACTTTTGACTATTCATATGACGTCCCTTTCTGGATTATATTTGGACGTTGAATACTAGACATTTAAAAAATTATATTCCATCGAGATACATATTTTAGATCATTGATAATTTAATATTTTCGCAACCCGCTATACACCATTGTTTTTTTATTTAAAATAGCTTGAAATGAGCGGGGATCGAACTCACGACACGTCCATTAATGTTCTGCGCTTTCAACCGCTAGAAGATCTCGACCAGCGAACAACTTGAATATCTTACTAGATTTGTTTATAATAGAATAAGATTTCAAACTTTTGTTGGTAGAATGAAATGCAATAGATTTAATTTAATATTAATATAATATTAAAAAAAAGAATGTGTATATAGATGAGCAATAATGGCCTAAGATGGACGTCCACTGGACGTCAAAATACTACTAAACTTAAAATTAAGCCCAAAAACTGACGTCCTCTGGGTATCGATATGCAGCTGTCAAAACGGAAGTACACTGGATTTCCAATTACGGATATGGACGTTCTGATCCTCAAATGGATCTAAAGTCCATTGGATTATGTGTGATATCTGGGTATTAATATAAAATAAACGTTTTATATAAAAAAACTTCTTTCAAGTTGTTACGCGCAATCAACTTTTCCGTTTTTAATAATTTTTTGTTCTACGAAATAATATTTATGAGTTGCTTCGACAAAATCATCTATTCACAGTTTGACAAACGCGTTTCAATTTAAAACTTTACGAAGCATTTTTTTATCATCATCAAATGAAATTAATTTTTATTATCAAATGATTTAACATATATTAATTTCGTTTTTGTTATTCCATCGAAATTTTCGAACTGATTTAAGTTATTTGTTATTTTCGAACGTTTTTTAACTAAATATTGACTGAATTCCATAGGTCGCTGGTTCTAATCCGGCTCGAAGGACCAAGTGGTTGCGTGTAAGGGATGCTGGTTATTTTTATATGTATAAAACATATATTTTATAACAATATTGTTACAGCGAATGAACAATAGTGTTCGTATTAATTATGCTTCACATGTTCGAAAACTTGAATTCATTTTCTAAAATTAGAACCCTAACTTCTTGAGGTTGATACTGGGCATATAATTTTTATTAGTTTATATAAATGTTAATAATAGTTTAAATAATAATACAACTTCAAGAACATATATAACCTACCACAACTTATTAAAATGCAAGGGTTACATTCCACAGTTGTTATTTAGTGTATTATGTTATTAGCGTGTTGATATTTATTTTATATAATATATGCGAAATAGAAAACCCAGCAGGAGTAGTGACCATAGTTTGTCAATTTCCCGCACACATGTCCATTAGAAGAGCAAGAATTGATTACATTTTCATTGCTGCTGGGTGATTATTTTCAGTGTCAGTATATTTTGTTACTCGATTTATTCTAGGAAAAAGATAATGAAAAATATCGAAAATTTATGATAAAAACAAACGTCAATTTCAAGGTAGTTAAAATTGAGAAAGTCAAGCATTTAAGCTTTAAAATATTTTGTTGTTACTTTGATTTGTGGCGACATTGTAAGGTTGCTTCTTAGGGCCTTAGAGCCTCTATTTGTCGTTAAACTTTCTTAGTGAATCTCGTATATCTGATCTAAATTATGTAACTGATAAAAATAACTTTCATAAATGTTATATAGGTGTTATAGAATTAAAATAAAACACATTATACTCTGTTTTCTTATATAATATGTACGTCTTCAAATTTTCACAATAAAACATTATAAATACATAAAAAATCGGTTATTTCATTGCAAAAATCCAAAATCCCTATTAATACATAATATATCAAATTCATTTCACCATACAAAAATAAATAAATAATAAAAAAAGTGATGCACTCGGTATACACATACGTAAAGTATTCGACGATCTTAGTTACACTAAGAAAAATAATTATATTTTGCCAAAATGCCCATTTTATAAAGACTTTTTATAGTTATCTATAAATTGCTTGTTTATCGTGGACTTTTATCATTTATAGTAATTGACAAAGTAGTTATTGAGCTCTAGTATCCCAGTTTTCTAAATTCATAATTTGTTTTTACAAAAATTACTGCAAATAATATTTTCCAAGTTTTAAAATCTATAAAAAAAGCTAGTAGAAAATGGGAAAATAAATGTGTGCTAAGAAAATTACTTTAACCGGGACACATCAAGATCTTTTAGAAATACATTAAACCTAATATCTTATTTCCATCTAGAAGAATCCATCAAGTTCAATATTGCTATCACTGGCGTACAAAAATTCATACATGGAAGCTTCCAAAGCATCGATATCTTTCTCTTCATTTACGTTAGGGAATTTCATATCTTTTCCGGTTCTCCTTAACTCCAGGTCTCCGTCAAGTTCTTCGTCTGATACTCCCGAGAATTTTTCTCTGACGTCCTTCATGATGCAGGCTTCGAGTTTCTTGTGTTTGTAGCATTTAAAGAAGAACATTGGTCTGATGAGTTCTCGGGAGAGAGGGGACTTGTCTTTTTTGACGTCTGGTACACATTGCTAAAAAAAATATATGAGATGTAAATCTTACGAAAGTAAAACTTTTTGTTTTAAAATGTATATTCCTATGAGGGACGGTTTCAAGGAATTCCAAACAAAATAAAAATTAAAGAAACTAATTATTACTTAATTTAATTGATGGTATAACATACAGGGTATTCCATTAAAAAAATTGGAAAACCGTAACCTCGCGGTTTGACACAGTCCGTATATAAAACATAGCAAATAAATGAAACTTCAAATTGTCAAGTCTATTAAAATTGTTTGACGATATAAAAACAATCGAATTTATTATTCGTAACTACTTACAAGGTGTTTGGTTTAAAAAATTATAAGTTTAGTCCACTCCTTATTCATGAACTACCCTGCATATTTAAGATTAATTGTAAAATATGGTCGTACTACTTTTGTATTAAATATTTATCCGAAAGTTTAATAATAAAACATATCAATCAAGTACACCACTGATAACGCATTTGTATATTAGGCTAACATGTTGGTATCGTTGGATAGGTAAATTCATAACAAATTTAATGGAAAAGTAATATGTAGAGTGTTGCATTTGAAAACATTGAGTAAATTGAACTTTGAATGAGCCATATTTTTATGACATGTTTCAAAACACTCTATATAATACGAAACATATTCTGGCAACATTGTACCAAATCAAACAAACTGTCATTCCATCTTCCGTCATTCCTCTAATATGAAACGCTTTTAATAAAACTAAAATTATTTTATTTTGTGCTCATTTAAAAAATGTGTAATTAACATTAATAAATTGAAAGTATGTGTGACAATTCAACAATTGTTCCTGAAAAACTTCTTTAAGGCAAGGTAAATAAAAGTATTTTTAAAGTTGGTGAAGTAAGAAGTAAGCAAAAAACTTGTAATTTTTTTTTCCCACAAAACCCGCTAAAAGGAAAAATTCGATTATTCTGATATGGAAATGTACAATAAATGTTTGATAAAGATAAAGAGAAAAATGGTTTTCCACTTTAAAAGTCTGAATCGGAAAAAAGTTAATTTAATATAATCGATGAGAAATTTTACCTGAGCAATGGTATGTACAATAGTTTATATAGTTATGTTTGCCTGTAATTATCAATCGTGTTACCCTGAAATCTTTTATTTTAATGACATTTTTTTATTGCCTTATTTGTATAATTTAGTGTTTTTAAAAATATTAGATGTATTGGTAATTTGGATCACTGCAGGTATTGAATAAGAATAAGGCTGTTGGTAAATTAGTTTACACTTGGTAATAATGTCTCGAACAGAGCAAACATAAATTTTGATTTAGATTAGGCACTTAACAAGTCACATCCCACATATCTACATGCTCTGGGTAATCAATTCCTATAAGTACATATCAAAACATTAATATACTATCTACAATTAAACAATAATTTGAAAATACAGATGAAGCTAATTTACCTATTTAGACAAAATTACTATTATTCTGTTATTTATTAAAGCACATTATTTTTTAGTAAACATGTACATGCAAAAGTCTGCCATGAGGGTAGGAAAGAACCGAGAGCAAGAATACTTTGGAATGTGCTGTGAAATACACTTAGAAAGGGTCATATGGAGAATTAAGTGTGATAACATTTTACGATGTGTATCTCACTATTTCAGTTCACAGATTTCTGTAAATGTTCAATTATGTGCTGCTATTTCAAACTTTTAGTAACCTTTGATAAAAGAAGTTGAATATTATTGTTGACCTTTTTAAATTGTTTATTTTACCTCATACATTTTTTTTTCTACACTTCATACAGTATTCTGTGAAGAGTATTATAGGTTTATTTTGTCTGTCTGTCCGATGTCACGTTTTTTGTCTGCACGATAAGTCAAAAACGAGAAATGAAATCAAGTTGAAAATTTTAAGCAAAAATCAAGCTCTATAAGAGGACAAAGCTTATTGATTTTTAACAAAACTGATTAAAAATAGGGGGTTAAGAAGGGTTGAAATTAAAAAAAAAATCCTAAATTAAAAACGAAAAGCAATATCAACATGAAATTTTTAGAAAAAATACAGCTTTATAAGAAGATAAAGCCTATTGATACTGAAAAAAATATGAATATATTAATCTGATTAAATATGGGGGATTTAAGGGGGGTTGAAATTAAAAAAAAAATCAAAAATGAAAAGCGATATCAACTTGAAATTTTTAGTAAAAATCAAACCCTATAAGGAGATGAGGCCAATTGAAGGTGAAAATAATCTGGTTGAAAATGGGGGTTAAGGAGGTCTGTTAAACTGCGAAGAGTATCATTTAGAATACCAGGCATTATATATCTTTGTTCTAGTTTGTATCTGTACAATATTATGTATTGTGATGGGACTGATCTTATAAAATAAACACTTAAAACATTTTAGTTCTCATTTTATTTGCCAATAAAAGGTATTTAAAAAATATATTTTTTATTTGACATCTGTGACAAATTGTGAAAATGATTAAATTTACAATAAAAACTGAAAAATGGTAGGTAAAGTTTCATATAATATTTTTTATACAAAAATCAATATCAAGCTTTCTATATAACCTGATATATATTTAAAAATAATCTCAAATTATAAAGAAAAGTCAGTTTACTAACTAATAATGTTTATAGATGGTTTTCAATATATTAAAAACAAAACAAATATTACACCAACTAAAATATGCATTTATTAATAATTGTAATGCTTAAAAACAGTATGATATTGATAATAATAACTACACTTAATACAAACTCATATAATAATAAAAAAACAGCAAAATTAGCTCTTGTACAAAGTTTTGAACTGAACTTATAAATGATAAAATTACTGGAAATAGTGAACACCAATTTTAAATTATCACGAGCCGCCCCTGATTCCTATATGTTTTGCATCAGATGAGTGCGCTGCATAATTAGCTTCTACATAATACACTGTTGTGCATTCTTAAACTTACCAACTGAAGGGCTTATTGATATTATAATTAAAAACACTTAATTTTCATAATTATTATGATCGAATACAAAGTAATCTTTGGTTATGCTTCGAACAAAAATAATTGGGCCCCTCTGTATATATTAATTTAGATAAAAAAAACATTTTCTTACCGAAAATTGTTGGCAAAAACTAACACCATCTTGCATATCCTTTCTCAACTCATCGGATATTGGCAAATTTCCAATTCTTTCGGCTATTCTAACATAGTTTGGTTCTAGATTTTCATCGAGATAACCAAGTTCTTGCATGACACATGTTATGTTCCTTACTCTTCCGCTTATTCTGGATGTCAATATTTCCAATTGATTCCTGACATCCATATTTCTCTAAAAATAAAAAAAACTTTTTTATCCAATTACGTAACTTTGCCAAAATATGAGATTAATCTTAAAAATTCTATTTACATATTAAACTACTTATACGAAACATTTCTTACCGACATCCTATTTCCATAAAACTGTTGTTGTCCGACCATCGGGAAATTATATGGCGAAAATGGCACTTGGGGATATCCCGAGTAGTAAAACGGTTGAACCGGTCCTAGTTGAGGGTTGCCGAATGGTCCTGTATAAAAATTGCCTGGGGCCAGTCCTGGATAAGCTGGCTTGTAGGACTGTTGAGGTATAGGATTCTATAAAAAAAAACAAATTGAGATCGTACCTACACGTATAAGCCACAAAAAGTTTTAACACTACAAAATAGTCATTTGTACGACGAAAAGGTTATTTACACGACAAAAAAGTTATGTACACGACAAAAAAGTTATTTACACGACAAAAAAGTTATTTACACGACCAAAAAGTTAATTACACGACAAAAAAGTTACATGGCAAACAAGTTTAATACATGAAAACAGTGTTTAATAAAGTACACATATCGTGGATTTGAACATATAAACGAAATTGGGGTCTATTCTGTAACAATTCCTTTATATTTAACGGCCTTTAAAAATATTGACGACCTTTAAAAATATGTTTGTATTCGTTAATTTACTTCTATCATTATTTGAACAGATTTCTTTAAGATAGTCCTCTAATGTATTTTAAAGATCCGTTTAAATAATGACAGAAGTAAAGAAGAAAATATTTTTAAAGGCCGTTAAATATAAAGGAATTGTTACAGAATAGACCCCAATGGCTGTATTTTATTTAAAGGATTTTAAATTGAATACAAAATATTGAGAATTGTGCAAGGACGTTATATCTATTTTGAATACTTTAATTCGTCTTTCATATTTTGTCGTAAAATGTTTTGAAATTCCTAATTTGTCGTGTAAAAATAGTATGTCGTACAATTAACCTATTTTATGGTATTGTATTGTATAACTTGAAAATATTTACCGGTCTAAATGCCAAAATGGCTTGATGTATTTTTTCAGCTTCCAGTGATGGTTGTTGAAAAGCTGGATGCATTGGTAAGTCTTGAGTTTGAGGTTTTTCTTCTGGAGGTGGCGCTTGTTGGTTCGGTGGAAGAATAGGCACTTCAGGAGTGGAACATTTAGCGCATGCTCTTTTCAGTTCTTGCCTTATCTGTCTGACTACTTCTTCTCCGAAACAGCTTTCGTATATCTAACACAAGAAACATATTATAAATAAGGATTTACAGAAATAAGTTTGGAGATCATTTTCAAATTCTTGAATAACTAAATTGGACTACAGTTTAGGGGTGCTTATATGTGAAGAATGGGAGTAATAGTAGTAATTACCGTCAAGAATTTTGAATCCTAACTTTGTATAGGTACTACAATATTATCAAAAATAATGTCTTAAATATTATCACTATCCTCAGACTTAAACTCTTGATGCATCACTGCTATAGTTAATGTAAAATAATTTAAAACAACGGTTTACAAAAAAATCGAACAAATGATACAAATATATCAATTCCTACCTAATTGAAATATTACAATGAACCAAAAATTTGTTGACGTGGCTAAACAAATAATGTTATAGAGATCTTCAAAAATAAAGACACCCGTATTTTTGTTTGGACAACATCGAATTTTCAAGGCAACAAATAAGGCTTTAAATATAATCAAATATTTTTTTTTATTTTTCAAAAATCATTAAATCGGTTTGTACCATATTTTGTGTGCTGGTACGACGTAAGTCTATTTAGCTTAATTTTTTCTCAGTGTATTTTTAATATTCTTAATCATTATTTCTAAGCCAAGAAGGTATTTTTTTCGGTAGATGGCATTGTTTTTAAGAAAAAAAAATATAAACTATACAAATTTAGATCGTATTCTTTTAGTTAAACCCAATTTTTAAATAGAAACAGAGATTTAATATAAAACATAAATTTACTTTGTTTTAAGTGTTTTTTTTTTTAAATAAAATAAAGAATTATGCAAAGCGATGGTTTATTGTTTTTTCTTAGAAAACGGTGCTATATATTTAGCAAAAAAAGAAAGCAAATTTTTTTCTTAGAAATAAATTGTAATTAATATTAAAAAAATAAGATAGTCTTACAATAAGAAAAAAGTTAAATTAAAAAACAAGTTGGATATGTAAATAAGTAACACCCTATATAAAAACTGAAGATGTTGGGACAATTTAATCCTACGTCCAATAACGCATACAAAATTTCATATAAAAAGAATATGTAGTTTTAAAGAAATAAAAAAAGATTATTTTTTAAGACTCATTTTATAGCCCGATTATACCCTATAAATATTCTATTTCTCTACACTATTGGAAAGTTGTAATATTAACTATTTTTTTTTTAATATATTTTATTGTTAAAACAATGAAAGGTCAGAAAAGAAAAATTTTGCGAATATAAATATCACGTAAAGGTTTTCATTGAATGATTTTTCGATTCCTTCAACTTTTGGTAATGAAACACTATCAGAAAAGATTGTTTACAGCAAGTGTGCAAATTTCTAAAACTATTGAAATAGTTTAAGTTTCAAAAACATTAAAAAAACATCTTAGAGATGATATATGTCATCAAAAAGATAAAATCGTAAAAAAATAACAGTAGAAAATATTAGATAAATAAAAAATATCTCGTGAAGATAATATTTCATACGGAAAAATAAAGGTGATTTTTCAGTGTCAAAATAAATCTGACATACAGGGTGTTTTCAAAGTTGAGTCATTTATTTTAACAGCTTGTAGAACTCGTCAAAAGAAGTCGATATACCAAAAATCACTTAAATAAAAGTTGCATATTAAAAGAAATAAAAAGGAATTTCAAAATTTTAAAACTAAAACAAATACAAACTATTTATCAGCATATTTTAATATTCCTGACCACTGCCAAGTAAAAACTTATCGTTGTTTGTTTGCTACGACAATTTTACTTATCTAGGTATGGCTATTTTTTTTTTTTGTTTTACGGTTTTGAGAACGATTTTCGATTAGTTATTGGTATCAAGCGTTTAGTTCGTATCACTTTAATTTGTTTGATATTTTGTACGGAAAAATGGCCACATTTATGGAAACAATGAACTAGTGGACATAATACTAAAATACGGAGAGTGCCAACAAAATGCAGCCGCAGCATGTCGCCTTTACGCGGAAAAGTTTCCATTAAGAAATCATCCGGCTCCATGATGTTTGTAAATTTAGTTATTCGACTTCGTGAGACAGGATACTTGAAAGAATAACGAGGGGGTCACGCTGGAAGACCTGCTCCACCTGAAATGGTACAAATTGAGGAAAATATTTTGGAAATGGTGGAAGATGACCCAACAATAAGTACTAGAGCCATAGCAACTCAAGTCGATGTTTCCCATAGTAAAGTGTGGAAAACAATACGACAGGAACAATATTATCATTATCAACGGGTACAAGCATTACAACCTGAAGATCATCCTAGAAGAGTTGAATTTTGCCAGTGGTTTTTACAACAGTTGGACAGAAATGAAGATTTTACGAAAATAATTTTAGCTACAGACGAATCCACATTTACACGAAATGGGATATTCAGTTTTCACAACAATCATGTTTGAGCAGTAGAAAATCAGCATGCAGATCTAATTTCCAACATAGATTTTCATTAAATGTTTGGACTGGTGTAGTAAATGGCATGCTTATTGGACCATATTTTTTTCCACCTCGGCTAATCGGTGACATTTATTTAGATTTTCTTTAACACCATCTGCCAGAATTATTAGGAGATGTTCCACTGAATGTTAGGCAGGATATGTGGTTTCTACATGACGGAGCTCCACCGCATTTCAGAAGAGGAGTTCGTGAATATTTGAATGAACAGTTTCCGAATAGATGGATAGGGAGGAATGGACCGTTTCTTGGCCTGCACGCTCTCCGGCCCTAACGCCTTGTGATTTTTGTCTGTGAGGTTATTTTAAACAGTTGGTGTATCATGATGGAGAAGTAAATACTGTGGAAGAACTTCAAGACCGCATTGTAAATGTTTGTGATGTTATTCGCGGATATCCGGATTTTATTTTTGAGGCCTGACAAATGGTGACAAATTTGAACAATTTTTGTAAAAATAGAATACATTTTACCGATAATGAATGTTTTTAATTAAAAAAAAAAACCTATAACTCTCTTATTATGCAACTTTTATTTAGGAGATTTTTGGTATATCGACTTCTTTTGACGAGTTCTACAAGCTGACTCAACTTTGAAAACACCCTGTATATATATAAAAAAAAACATTAAATAAATTAATTAATCATTTTTGTCTTCTCACACTGCATTAGCATGTGAGTGGTCCAGAAAATTAATGAGCAATAAAAAAAATTAATTATAAACTGAATTTTAACTGTGTATCTCCAGGCATTTAATTATTTAATTGCCCACGTATTCAGCTTCTTTAAAGTGTTTTAGTTTTATAAAGTTCACTAAATTACAACTGTGATTATAACTAGCATAACTGTAACCTGTAATTATTTGAAAACAACTTTTAAAATAGTTTATCACATTCTTTTAAACCGTCTACAGAAATATTCTCACTTAAAACCATTATAAAAACGTCACGGATAATGAAGTGAATCTTGATTTATTATATAAACATCTATCTTTTGTGGTTCTCGATAATTTGAGTGGTTTTCTTGGTGTTTGGACTTAAATATGGTTTAGGTTTGTATATTCTTCTGTACTTCGTTAATAACTTCTTCAGTACTTATATTTAGAGGGTCCAGAGGGAAAACCAGATTAGTAATAAATATTAAAAATAAAGGGATTAAATATCCACTCAAGTTTATTTAAATAAATCAGGATTTACTTTAGAATTTAAATTTTATTGTATTAGCAACATATCTTAACAGTGGACTTTATACAGAACCTTGAACGGGGTCCTTACTAATTCATAGGGACAGTATTGCTTTTTCTCAAACGGTAACAGATAGAAAGATGGTTAAATCAGACAAGAAACCTTTGATATCTACCGGGAGATTCAAAATTACGGACAAAAATGAAAAAATTGTCATTTCTTTAAATTCATTGATTTTTTGTCCTATATTTTGAATCTCCCTGTAGATATAAAATATTTCTTAGCACCATTTTAAAGAAGACAAAACTACGCTAGTTTTTTCTAATTTAACTAATTTTCTATCTATTATCGTTTAAGAAATAAATAGTAGGAACCCTGTGTATCCTCATTCTAGTTTATTAATAAACTTACCTTCATCATTGCATATTTCTTCAAAAACCTTTCATCGTTGCTTCCAAATGAACACACCTCTACCACAAAAATTGCGACTAAGAAATAAATAAGGCACTTCATATTGGTATCTGCAAGAAAAATAACTCTAATCAGAATGATGACTTTTTAATGAACACCTAAGAACCTTTTATAAAGTTCTGAACACGTGCTTTTGACTTATTCTTATTGAATGAATATAATTTTACTATTTGTTGTTATCAAAATATTATACAATCGTTTATAGTTATTGTTATTAAAGTTTAAAATCGGCCACAAATTTATTCGTCTAGTCACTAGTCGATTCACAATAATTCTCTATTGCAATTAAAAATGTTCTATATTTAAAAAAAAAACAATTTTTCACATTTTCTCGGGTTTATTTTCACCCCTCGGGGATTTGGTTATTCCCGAGCTTCCTTTATTTTTATTGTTTTCGGCAGTTTACGTTTATATCGACAAAATCTCTCTTAATAAACTTTTCAGTTGTTTATACAATTCCTAAAAAATGTGATTTATAAAAGAAACAAACTATTTTTCATATTATTTACTTTAATGTATATTAAAAAGGTCCTGTATATTTTTTGATAAAGTTAATATTTTAGAAGATATGAGTTTTTATAGTTTAAAAAATTTTGACGAATTTTTACTGCTTACAATTCTATTAAAAAAGATAATATGATTAAATAAATTTGTTTATTTTGTTTATAATACAGTTAACAAGTACCCGTAGTGACAAATATAAAAAAGTCATATCTTCTAAAATATTAACTTTATCAAAAACATTTATAACCTATTTTTATTAAAAAAAATTGTCGCGTCTCTAAATAACATTTTTTAGGAATTGTATTTTTTTTTGTGGCAAACTCTTTATATGGATTTCTGATTTCTATAGAAATAATAAACATTTTTGGCAAGTAGTTGTGGTTGTTAGAAAAATGTTGGGGTATCTCACACGTTTAGAAAGTTTTTATTGTATATCATTACATACAGTCTGTTCTGTTCGCGGGTTTTGGATTAAAAATTTTATGAGTATTTCCAGGTAAGTACCCGAAAGTTTGACCTGTTCTTTGGGGAAATATCAACTGGTTAAATGAAATGAAAAATAATGTACATCTTTTTAATTAAATAATAATGGAGAATCTTTTGTATATTTGAGAGCAGAATTAAACTTCTTCATTAATGGGGTCTAATGTAACTATTATAAACCTAATAATAATTGTATATTACACTTCGCACAGAAAATATGGTCTATGAATAATAAGAGGGTTATTTAGCTCAAATAAAATATTTTCTAACATAAAAATTTGTTCCATGTAGAGAATTTCAAATGAAAAATAAAAAATTGAACTTGCCAACAAAAATGAAAATCAGTCATTATCATCCAAAATATCATAATCATCATCATCATCACTGTCATCACCATTAATTGTTATTATGATTGGACTTATTTCGTTTATTTTATTTTCACGAGTCCACCAATCTTCTATTAGTTTTTCGCACTTGGATATACAGTTCCGCAACACTTCTGGAGTTGCAATTGAAAGTGCTTTTTGCCAAGTTTCCCGAACTGCGTCATCACTATAACCATTAGGCCCAATATGGTTGTCATAATATTGTTTTGCTATTTCCCATATATATTCGATGGGATTAAACTGGCAATGATACGGTGGCAGACGTAAAACTTGATGACCGTAACTTTCAATAATCTGATCCACAACAAAGGATTTTGGTTTTGCGTGTATATTTGCCAAGCGTAATAATTCTGATTTTAATATGTATTGAGGAAATGGTATATGTTCCTTTGTCAACCATTCTTTAATTTTATCAACAGTCCAAGAATTCGTTGGACTTTTGTTTAATACTTCAGAATGGTAAGGTGCATTATATAAAATAATTACGCTGGGCTCACTTAAACCTGGGAGAAGTTTTTCATGCAACCATTTTACAAACATTTCTGTGTTCATATTATCGTGATAGTAGATATTAGATGAAAATATTAAATCAGCACACCTTCTATAAAACCTGATTATGTGTCGCTTCCCTTCTCCATCGGTATGTTTGATGGACTTTACGTTATCATCTTGCCATATTCTGTTGGTTGCACCCCTAGAAAATATCCATGTTTCGTCTAAATATATAAAATTCGCCCCTTCTTCTTTAAATTTAGAATATTTTCTTAGAAAGTTAATTCTCTTGTGCACGACAGAACTTCTTTCACAAAGGGCCTTTCTGTTATCCTCCTTTTGAAATTTGAAACCCAATTTATGTATCACTTGCCATAGACTTGTTCTGCCAATGTCGTCAAATTTTCTATCTATTAATTCAGAGAGAATTGTATTTAAGGTCACATGTTCCTTGTTGGCCTTCATTCGATAAATGGTATCACGAATTTCAAATTTCTTTCCATCTGGAATATGTTTTGTTTTCAATGATGGGCGAGTTTTGCGGTGATCTTCTTTCGGCAGTTCACCTCCCATGGGCGTCGTTACACAATTCTATAGGGGGGGGCAAAATTTTGAAAAAATTTATTATGTTTATTTATTGAAAAACAAAGAAAATTAAACATAAAAGAGAATTTTCTTATGATGGATTTAATTATTCTGTGACGTCATGGCTTACTTCCGGTTTTTCCAGAAATGACAGAAAATCACAATTTATTTTTTATTTTGAAATGAAAACCCTTTTTCTTATTGAAAATTTGAATTTCTGGTACATTTTTGTATAAGCAGCGTGTCTTGAAAATTTTTTCAGTAACATATTAAAAAAAATATGTTCCAATATGATGATCATTTTGACAGCTGACCAAAAATTTTCAAAACATGATTCTTATCCATAAATGTCCCTAAAATTCAAATGTTCAATAAAAACGGAGGTTTCTATTTAAAAATTAAAAATAAATTGAGATTTTGTTATTTCGATGAAACAGAAGTAAGCCATGAAGTCATACACCAATTGAATCCAGTATATGAGAGTATTTGTCCCAAGCTTTTAAACAAATAAGTTTTCATTCCAGTATCTCAATTAACAACGAAGATAAAAGCGGATAGAATTATTAAACGGTTTGCTAATAATAAAAATGCTTAGATACGCCACTGGTATACGGTAAATGGGTCTCAATGGGAATTTTAAAGCCTAAAAAGATTATTATACAAAAATGTCCCAGAAATTTAAATTTGCAATAAAAAAGAGGGTTTCCTTTTAAAAATAAAACAAAAACTGTTATTGTTGGAAAAATCGGAAGTAAGCCATGACGTCACAGAACAATTGAATCCATCATAAGAAAGTCTTTCAAACAGAACAAAATTAATCCAATATCTCACTGAATAGCGAAGCTAAGGGGGAGTGGAACTGTAGTAGTAACCCTAACAATGTCACTGACTTATTTGACAGAACTGATACTTAAGTTGTCATAACAAGTCTCTAATAAATTAAATAATCCAACAAAAAAGACAAAATAAAAGTATATGGATTTATAAAACAAGTGAAAAAATTATTAATATTATTATTATTATTATTAATATTATTATTACATATTTTTATTACTTCAGCTAAAAAAAAGTAGTATAATCAATAAAAATCAATAATAAAACAGGTAGGTATTTACGAGAAAATGTATGAGATCTTGCCTAAGCCTAATAAATTGTCATTGAAGAATAGGTTAAATAATGTCAAAATAAAAACACTACTATTATATAATAACGTAGAATTAAAACGTATTAACAAAAATAATTGGTATATTTGCGATTGCAATTTATATTTTCTTCATTTTTAGTTCGAAAGAACCCATAGAAATTAATGATTAAAACTGGTTTCCTATCAATAAGTCATAAGATTGCATTTCAGCCATATACAATAAATAAAGGCAGAAATCTAATCATTTGCTAAACATTTAAGACTTAAGAGATGTTGAAGAATATCATTAAATAATAAATTATTGTTTATTTAAAACCTTTTCTGATGTCTATTATTTCCAGTATTACTGTTATTATTACAAAAATAAAGGTTTTTTTTTCTTCTTATTATACAGCTGTCTATTTATTTTTTGATTTAATTTTGATTTTGCTACTGAAAATTTATATAATTTACAGTTTTTTTGCTAGTATAATTTGCAACATAGCAACTCCGGTTGCTCATTTTATTGTTTTAACCTATTTTTTAGTAAAAAGTAAAATGTATACGTGTATTTGATACGCCAATATTACAAAATATCGCCCTAAACTACTCGAATTATCCGCAGCTTGCGCTAGTATCGCTTTTGCTTTCCTACTATGACTTCGCACTGATCGAATAGATCGCAGCTATGTTTTAACATGCCTTAGCGTGCTAAACGCTCTTTCGATTAACTCTGTCGTTTGTGAAAGAGCCATAAATATTTTTTTAAACCACTTTTTATGTCTGGATAAAACTCACAATGTTTGGATGTTATATAATTAATGAAAAGCTCATTGTGTGTAGAAAGCTCTTTCGTACTCCAGTTTGGTATTCAGATTCAAAATTGTCGATTTTCTAATCGGTAGTGATAAAAGTATTGTTTTTATGCTTTTGGAATGTAACAGGCTTAAGAAAAATTAACAGAGTCTTTGGAAAAGCGTGATGTAAGCGACGTAATAAGGAAATCCAGATATCGTCGGCCTAAGATGCAAATGGCCTAACTCCACTTTTTACCAAAGGTACGTTTTATTGACTACCCGTTAGTTAAAGATCTGTACTGTCGATTCGAAATGGCCTGCCAAGCCTATTTTAAATATTCGCGCCAAAAATTACATGACTCATTTTGTATAACCCCTTTACATTAAGGTTATGTATAAAAGATTTTTTGCGTTTCCTCAAAAATTTATATTTTAGGAGTTAGGCCATTTGCATCTTAGACCGACAATATTCAATAAATATATTCAACCTATAATATTCTTCAACTATATTAGCCTTAATATTATTATTTCTATATGAGATTGTCGTTCGTATGCATAATCTTACGCGTTGTTGATTAAGTCGCTAAAAGCCAGGGGGGGGCAACTGCCCCCCCTTGCCCCCCCCCAAACGACGCCCATGAATACTCCTCTTAATTTGGTTTCACTAATTCCTAGAGCAT